GCCACTCGCCGCCGCAGGCCCTGGGGTAGAGCATCACACGCCGAACAAGCAAATGTGCTAAAACCACTATTTACACAAGTCAGAAAGGAGGACGGCATGCAGGAGGCAGCCCCTGGATGGTTCTCATAGATGTTTCTCTCCAAAATCAATCAAAACGTATTTCAGAAAGAAATAGAGGATGTGATAAGGAAAGTACTCAGGCTTGTCCGCTGCTTGTGGTAAACTAATTCGGCCAAATGTAAGGGTTAACAGGAAATGGTACCCACCAAGTCCTCCCCCAAAGCAGGACTGGAGAGTTTACTGCTCAAGAACAGAAAAAGCAAATTTCCCCAAATAGCTAGGACTTGGGCTTTTGAAAACAGTGGATCAAGTCTCAAAGATCAGATGTTCTAGTTAAGCAACTTTCAACTTTTTTTGATTCATGGTACACATAAACTAATTACTAAAATTCTGTGGCACACCAAACACTTTTTGATAATCTGACAAAATAGGTATTTTTTCATTCACACCAGATGGCTGTTGTGTTGGCTCTTGTCATTTCGACAATCTAAGGCAAAAGAGGTCAGTGCCCCTGACAAGTCAGGTATTGCATTTACAAAATTCTTGCAGCACACCAGTTGAAAACCAGTTCTAGTTAACTGAAGTTCCGTATTTTTTTTTTACAGAGAGGAAGGGACATAGAGAAACACGGATTTACTGTTTCACTTATCTAATCTATGCATTCATTGGCTGATTCTTGTATGTGCCCTGACTAGAGCCTGAACCCACAACCTTGGTGTATCTGGACAATATTCTGTTTTCCAGAACATTTTATATGTTCTGTATTTTAAACATATATAACTAAAACCTATTAAGATAATTTTTGTTTTGTTGTAAGCAAACTACCCTCCAACAGGAAATAAAATTAGAATTTTCAGGTGGCCTTGAATTAAACATGGAAATAAAAGAAGACTTTATCATTTTATTCCTCTATTTAGGTACCGGTACCTGAAGGAACTTGACACCGGGAACTCTGTTGAAACTTCTGCTCATCCTACTTCCTTTTTGAGAGTGTTTTTCCAATAATTTGCATTTCCGTTAAAAGTGTTTCATTCATCAAGTCCCTTTAACCATGAGAGCTAAAACATTGACCCTTTTCATCTGAACTTCTAATGGTTTACTTTGCAAAGTCAAAACTCTGAACTGTATGCAAGCTTTTGGGTCCATGTATGTATTTTTCTGGAGGTGTTAGAAAGTCATTGTGCTATGAGTAAACAAGTTTATGAATTTTAATGTATGGATGGGTTATGGAGTTAAGAACAGAGATACCACAAGCAGAATATTTATACATTTATTTATAATGACATTATGGTCTAAATATTTACAACATATAGGAAACCAGAGGATACGTTTATACAAAGCCAGCCTGCAAAGTATTCAAATGTGCAAAAATGACAGTTCAGTATCTCAAACTACTGATTCAGCAGACTAGCTCCTTCACTTTCACACATTAATATTGATACAAAAAAGTTCTTTTGGTAAAACCTGTAATGCCAAGAAAAAGGACAAGTTGCCATTTCAGTCACTAAGTCCACCATCTTATTGGGAGCAGTCAAGTCTCTCTATTTTAGCTGCAACAGTTCTGAGAGAGACAGACCACTGTGTTTCATTTCTATGATAAATTCTGGCCAGCTTTTGATCAAGTAGTTTTCTGACCCAGTTGAAGACAAGAGCTTAGAAGACCAATAAAAACAGCAATGGCTATCTGAGTCAAGTGTGCCTGAAGGTGCCAGCTTTGGATCATTCCCCCAAAAAGACACAATAAAAAAAATAACTTCATTTTCTTACCCAGGATCCAGCTATACCTGACAATTTTAAACTAGTGAAACAGCACTTGCCAAAACAAAAAGAACCCAAAAATGGAATAGGAGTGAGGAATCTGTAGATTTAGTACTGAAAGGAAAAGATGGTCTTAAAATCATTTCCCTACTAATAAATAGTAAGGCTTGGTTTGTAACAAGTTATTAGCAAAATTGACCAAACAGTAGTAAAATACAAATAAAACTGTCTACATCAGAATAGGGGTTCTTCATTTGGAAAGGCCAGACCAGGTCAAATGTATACAGGAATGACCCCAATGGAATGCTGCGTTGAACAGCACATTTCACCGAGTGTTAAATAAAAAAGCTTCTGAGACAAATTTGTGATCCCACATAAATTTTAACAGATGCTATGCCACTGAAGAAAAAAGGATATTTTAAAAAGAATGAAAGCCTTTTAAGAAAGGAGACACTGCACCTCTAACTTCTGCCAAGGTCCACGATGGTTCCCAGTACAGGCCAAAGTCTTGTTAAATCAAATGCATGCATTATTGCTAAAGAAGAGTCACCGAGGGTCAAAAAAGTCTGTTCCACTGTTTCCTACGGGGCCATCCAGAATGGCATCTGTTGTTTAGCTCGTGGTTGTGATGACGGGAACTGATATCCCAAACTCCAGCCCTGTGGAAAGCTACCTGCATTTTTATGACCCCCGTGTTCCTCCTCTTCGTCAGATGAATCTGCAGCATAAGCCACCAAGCCAAATCCCTTCTCTGTGGTTTTCATCTTCTTGACTGGATAATCTAGAATAGAGAAAAACAACCCAAACCCCATTCCCCGCCGAGAAAAAATACCATAAATTCGTTAATTAAAAAAAAAAGATGTTAATTTTAAGTGGTTAGTTGGACGCCATTTTGAAGTCACAGGGTCAGTGGTCACCCAAATGCGTTGAAGGTCACACGAAAAACAGCACCAGCATCAGCATATGTGAATCCACCAGAACCATGTAAGAAAACAGAGAAAGAAAAAAGAAACACACACACACAAAAAAAAAAAAGAAAAAAAAAGAAAAAAGGAAAGTTAGCAAGGACATCTTTTGAGGCCGATACTTCACCTTTTAAAGAGTTTAAAGAAAAGAAAAAAATATTAATTTTCTTCTGTTCATTTTTATTATGACTAAAGGGAAGGAACAAAAATGTTCCCATGTACCTCTACAGGATTTAAGAGTTCTGGGATACTAAGAAGTAACATTTTTTTATAATGGCCACAGGCTGACCATTCCCAACCAACAGAGCTATGAGAAGAGACATGGCTCAGTTCCCAATACAAAAATATCGATCTTTAATTGTTTCAGATTACCTCCAAGTATTTAGATAACAAGGCAACAAAATTTTGAAATGACCTACCAATCATTAGTATTTCCTAGGGTTTTAATGTCACTGACGTTATGTATAAAATATAAGTCGACTGACTCTTTTCTAGACACACGTCGGTTGAAAATAAAATGCTGTGTAACTATATGCTGTCCGTATGAATAAAAAGAAAAGTTTTTTCATTAGATTATAGAGGTTGGATTAAACACCTAAATGTATCGCACCTGAATGAACATCAGGTTAGAAAATTAACAGTTTAGTACCAGTCTTAGCCACTCCCTTAGTCCCCCCGTTATACCTTACTCACCATGGCTCCCTGTTAAGGTCCCAGACCCATTCCTTTCATCAGACTCTGTTTTTATTCCAGTCACTGGAAAGGCTGGTGGAGGCATCAACTGCCTGTTAAAAAAGAAACACTC